CCTGGGTCATTGTTTTAAGTGTCTGAAGGTCAGTGGGTAGAATTTCTTCATGAGATAAAGGGGGCCTGTCTTCCAGTCAGTACATACAAAAGGCCTAGGACGCCTGTGCTTTTCAGTCTTGCGGTGTCTTAAGGGATTATCAATTTACTGTCCTAAATGGTTTTGATTCACAGTGGCCACTTTTGAATGAACTAATATGAACTTAGGATGTTAATAATAGAGGAAAAAGTTAATTACTAAATATCACCCTAAGTATTTTTTTAAAATGCTTGAACTTTAATCCATGATGAAAAACAGGTCTGCTTCTAGTCTTCCATTCAAATTAATATGCTAAATAAGAGCATTTGTTTCTCTAACTCTACCACACCAGCCAACTGTGGAAGTAAAAATAAAAACTCTGATTAAACACGGTTTAAACATGTGCCTTCAGGAAAAAAATACATTTAGTCTAATAAATTTTGTGTACATTTACAAGAAGGTTGTATGTCCTCCCATAAATCCCTAACTGAAATGTTCTCTCTGCAAACACTTTTACAACACTTATTTATAATATTAGTTTATTAACTTCCTTGCATGGAGATAGGTACTTTAAATAATAATATCTATCAGAAATGATAATTAATTTGACCCTTATCTCCCCCTACAGTATGTGTCTACTATGAGCACTTTTATTACCTTTCAAAGATAAAATAATGGTTTCCTATTTGGCAAATGCATGAAAGTAGAATAAATAGAAACCAAAATGAACACCACACATAGCGCACATTGGCATAGTAAAACAGATATTGTGAACAAATTGCTTGCCGGTTTTAAAGAAAAATGTAGCTTTACTCAGTTAATGTTTTATTTAATCATTCTCCTCATTCAACAAGTTTTGATGGGAACTTTACTCCATGAAATATATGGTCAGCATGGCGTGACAAAGGAAAAATGTTCTTATTGTTTTCTTCTGATACTACTAAATACACACAAGTGATCGCCTGACATTTCTGTTTAAATTGACAGTGCAGATTTTGGGTGGGGCCCATGTTGCAGTGCGAAATGCTTGAGCTTTGCTTTTGTCTTTCTCTGCAGCCCACACAATGGTTTGGTGATGATTACTACAAGCTCCTTGGGGCCGTCATAGAGCAGCTACCAATGGTCCAGGCCTTAGATCTCATATTAGTCCCTAGTCTTTGGAGAGATGCATCCTTCCAAGGAATTCCTAAAGGAAAGATGGTGGAGGAAGTCCCAGGCACAAGGCCTTGGTTAAGAAGTAGGAGACTGGACGTCTAGTGCATGCCTTTGCCTGTTCTCATAAGATGCCAAATCAATATTTTTTAAAAATTTTATTTAAAAGGAAAAAGAGAAAAAACAAAACAAAACAAAGCGGTGTAAGGGTACAAGTAATACAGAACTACAAAAAAATAAAAAAACAGTAAGAAATCACCAGTTAATAGATTACACATTATCATCTTAGAGAGAGTTCCTCAAGTCATAGTATCAAAGCATACAAAGTGGACATTCAAACAGTGAGACTGCAAACAGTTGTGTTCAATGATCCAACCAAAAACATTAATATGGTCATCTGTTTAACACCCCTAAACACACTTGCAGTTGTATCCTTTAGAGCACTTTTTTTCCCTCTCTTTTTTACAACAAAATTTACATATTTTGGGTTTTTTTACTCCTTGGTTCTTATTACTCTTTTTTTTTTTGGAAGAGAATAAAGTCAAATATGGCAGAACAAAGCTGTCAGTCAAAACCAAGGGTAGACATAGCACATGATGTAAAAACAGAGTACAAGGTTATCATTATGCCTCTTGCTTCCTTAAAAAGAATTGTCTATCTCATTAGGTATTATAAAGTTGAACAAAACAGTAGAGAACAAGACCAATAAAACTTAAACATTGTAAACATTACAGGGCTTCCAAAGGAGATAATAGTCAAACCAGAATGGGCATCATAGTGAATCTTATTGCCTTCAAAGTAGTTGCCTATACCCTCAAACTTGATACTAACATACAGAACGGAACAGAGTCTAATCAGTCAAAACAAGATAGTGGGAGTATTACAGGACTTCAAATCAAGTTAATAGGAAATCAAAAAAGTTACTATAATATATCCTGCTAATTTTTTTTATTCTCCTGAATTAAAAAATCATAAAAAAATAAATAATTTTTTTAATGAATAAGGGAGAGATTGAGATAAAAGAGGACCTAACAACATAACAATACAGGTCAAAGCATGACTGTTTCAGCAACTTAGTGCTTCACCACCAAATAACCCGACTTAATAGTAGTTACCCTAGTGTCTTTTTCTTTGAAATATTTGAATATAACTTCATATACTATAGCTTCAAATATTTCCATGTCAAGCAGCCCAGAATAAAGCCATTCCAATTAATAAGTGAAAACTTTATAAGGCTTCAAGGCCACATAATGGGGAATCATGATTACCACATACTTTTATATATTTGAATCATTACTTACATTAGGGAAACTATTTGGTATTCACACATGCAAGATTGATTTATTTCACTTATGAGTATGGTCTCAAGCTGCGCCCATTTATTGATAAATATCTCAATGTGATCCTTCTTTATAGCTGAGTAATAATCCATTGTATAGAAATACCACAACTTTTTTATCTGTTCCTCAGTTGATGGACACTTGGGTTGTTTCCAAGATCTGGTGATTACAAATTGTGCTGCTATAAACATAGGTGCACATATATCACTGTGGTATGATGCTTTCAGTTCTTCTGGGAATATGCCTAGAAGTGGAATAGCTGGAACAAATGGGACTTCAATCCCAGCTTTTTGAGAAATCTCCAGACTGACCTCCACAAAGGTTGTACCAGTCTACACTCCCACCAACAGTGTAGGAGAGTTCCTTTTTCCCCACAGCCTCTCCAGCATTTGTTGTTGTTGGTTTTCTTGATCCTGGCCATTCTTTCAGGAGTGAGACGGAATCTCAGTGTGGTTTTAATTTGCATTTCTCTAATGACCAATGATGATGAACATTTTTTCATGTATTTATTTGCCACCAAATCAATATTTCTTAATACATTAAGTACTTTGAACCTTTCCATCCTTTAATAAGACCAGTCTATAAAAAAACAAAGCAATCTTCTCATACATTGGCTTAGGTATCATCTCTCAGGAGTGTACTTTGTAAATATCCTGTTAGAAACTCTATCAAACTCAAATTATTACCAGAAGTGATTTTGCTGTCATGATAGGCCTAAAGGAAGAAGTAATTGCAGTGATAGAAGCCACCCCGCATGAGGAAGTGGGCCTGTAGCTATTAATACAGGCTGAGGGACCACATTCTGTCTTCACATAGGTGCAAAGCTGACTCCTTAACCTAGCCTTCCAGTCCCTGTGTCTCCTTTAACACCATCCCAGTGCTTGAGCCAAGCAAATATCGTCCCTGGCAAGGAGCCTTTGGGGATTGAGGTCATAGGAGGAGAATCCACACAGAGAGGAAAGGCGGGTGGCAGCGCTCTGTCCCAGACACATTGCTCTGTATACTTCATAGAAGCAACAAGTGAAGGAGAAACTACCCAGCTTGGTGGAATCTTAAGTTGATTGTGATATATACATCTTCTTTTAAAAATCTGAAGTCAGTGGAATGATGGTTATTCCCTGACAAGACATTCAAGTTTCTTTGTTTAATATATATTTGCAATGTGAAATTGATGTATATAGATTTCACATCTTGATTATTTAAAGAAGGCTCTTGTTACTGGTTTTACGCTCAATTCAGTACTCATTCTGAAACACTGTACACCTCTCCAGTGGGGTGTGGGTGCGTTACAGGAATATTGGTCACTTAACCAACTGCTTAATGTCCCTTTTAATGTAAATATAATGTCCCTTTTAATGCTGTCTTAACTTTTGTATTTTGCCATGTATTTTGGTGGAAACCATTGGCCTTCTGCTTCCATTCTTCCCTTCCTAGTCTTAAGGCTGACAATCTACAGGACAATGTCATTCTTCTTCAGGGCTCGAGAAATTCTTCCTTAGTCTTTCTTCCCTGGCACTGGGGGCCAGGGGAGAGTGGAGGCTGATGGTTCTTGAGCAGTTCCCCAGGACCTGAGTTAGAGCCACTGTTTCTCTTGTCCCCCACTCTGGGCACCTTCACTGAAAGTAACTGGTTCGATTCTCTGTTGCCAGAAGACAACATTTGCACCTCTGCTTCTCATATCCAAGACTCTCTCTTGAAATCCAGAGTATCTCAAGAACAACTTAACCATAAGCTCCTCCTGAGGCAAATGAATAGGAAGAGCTATTTAAATTGAAGTAATTTTATTACGTGATCTGCTTCACAATGGGTTTCAGGTTACTTTGCCCGTGTAGTTAATAATGAGGTGTTTGGTAAGATCGCTATCCCTGATGCACAGCCAAGATAAGATGGGATCAGCAGATGCAACGTCAGAGGCCTTCTCTTCATGAACAGAGGTGCCACTGGGCCCATTAATTTATGTCTCCTTTGGACAAAGGCCAGAAGATCCCATTGTGGCATGCAGAGAGATTCCCAATCCTGGAAGACTGTTTACCAATGGAGAAAACGTTTTAACAATTTTCCTTTGAAATACAAATATCAACTAGTTATGCATGCTGTTAGTATTTTCCAGTGTGACACCAGTATAGACAATTAACTTCTAGTTCCATTGATGGAAATTTCCTCAAACAGATATATCTCAGCATTTTCTGTTTCTACAGATGACACCCAAAAAATATTTTCATATTTTTTTCTTCATTTTCTTAACAAGGTGGCATAGTTCAGCAGTTGCTTTTGTGAGTGTTCAGCGATGTAGAATAGATTTTGGAGCACAGTTTATACTCTGGGAAAATAATAGAAATCTTGTTTTCTAAATAGGCATCTGTATCCTTAGAATTAATGACTATAGTGAATTTATAGGGTTTTGGTAGTTTAATTGTATTCTTAGAGTTAGGATTGGCAATACATTGGAAACAAACTATAGTAATGACATTCATTGTTTGGGGTATTTAGGAACCTGTTTTGTTCACTGGAACAATGAGGAAAAACCTGGATCCCTTTAATGAGCACACAGATGAGGAACTGTGGAACGCCTTAGAAGAGGTAATTTATGTACTGGATTATCTTTATAGCATCAGTATATGTGTGTGTCTGTTTGCAGCATCACAGGTAACTGAGAGGAGCTGATTGGTTTAACTTTGCTTCACACTTAAGATATGGATGCCATGGAGATACTAAGATGATTGTACATATTGATGATTGTGGAAACCAGCAATGAAATGTCTCACGTTTTCATTTCAGTTCTTCTCTCATAATCTAACAGCAGGGTACATTAGTTTATTTGCCTTTAGCGAAGCACAGTTAGAAGTTGTGTGTGTGGATTCAGATTCTCCTAGTGGCTCAGTGCCCTGTGACATTGATTCTATTGCTTGATTCTTGCAGTGCATCCAGGAAATGGAGACAGTAATAGTTCCTTATTATTAACTGAAAGATAACTGAGGTCATACATGTAAAATCCTTAGAAGTTTTATTTGAAAGTACTTAAAAAGTAAATTATACAGTTAGGATGTGACAATAGTTATTTATTGGAAAATAAGTAATTTAATGCTGCAGAAGAATGAGTTCAGAAAACAGAACTCCAGAGCCTTTGCTAAGATTTTAGATGGATACTTTCTTTTCAGTAGGATTTGTGACTATTTGTGTAAATTTCCCTGTGGACCACTTGCCCTCCCAGGAAAAGGATTTTGACTGTTAAAATGCTGTTGGTTTATATATGTATTTCAACACTAAATATTTTGCATGTTCAGGCTAGTTCTGCAAGTTATTCTATTTAGTGGCAGAAACCGTATCTTCAGACTTTTAATCCCTCATAGGACCCAGTCCATTCATTTACTTTTAAAAAGTAAGCATTTAATGAATATTTATTGAATGGTCGATCTCTTCATTTCCTAGAAGTGTGGCTTATTCCTTTAAAAGATGCACAAGTCTCAACCATCAGTCCCTCATCTTTGTTACTGTTGCTCTGACTGAACTGGTGTGTTTATCATTGTCGTCCCTTTTAAGGGTTAGCTCTGAGATCTTTCCACATGGGTTCTGCCTGTAGCAGGCAGATTTGGAGGCCTGACAACTTCCTGCCAGTATTTCTTGTTTCTGAAGGCATGTCAGCGCTGAGTCTTCACACATCCACTCAGCTTCCCAGCAACTGTGAGGATTTTATTGTCCTAAATTGGGTCACTTACTTCATCATCTCCTACTTGAAAAGCAGTTGACCTCTGGTTTCATTCAAGACTGTAAATCTTTCTGTTGTGGAATTCTAGAGTGCTAGAATTACAGGTATGCCCCACCACGCCCAGCTTGAAATTATAATTTAAAAATACTTTTCATGTTTTAAAGCATGGCTACTTTGATATCCTGGGGCCAATTAACTTTTATAAGGAATATACTTCTTTTATAATAAAATTTAATAAGAAAATGGTATATATTATATAAGGTATATATCCATTATGAATATATTTTCTAATTTATAGGAAGAGACATCATGAAAAGAGATGTGTTTGTGGCTTCATTCATATGCTCAGCCAATATTTATTGACAGCTTGTTGCATAGGTATTGGCAATCTGCAAGCTTAATTCTTGTGGAGGAAATGGAAAATAAGCAAATGCATATATGAATATAGTTACACTGGACTAATAAATGCAGTGAAGAACAGTAAAGCAGACAGCTGGCTGGTAACGTGATTAGTACTAGGCAGTATCTATTGATCTCTTCCCTTGTGGCAAGGACTGTTCTGAACATACGTACTGACTTACTCTATTCTCCAATAGCATTTGGAGATAGAGGTCTTGCTTATAATAATATTATGTCTCATTGTAGTTTAGCAAGCTAAGAGAGAGTTCAGGAACTTGCCCTATTGGCAGATCTTGGCAGGACTCAAGTCTGGCTGTCTGGCTTCAAAAAGGCCTAGTACTTTTATTTAAAATTTTTGAAGCTGGATGAGTGGTACAAACTTATATTCTCAGCACTGAAGAGATTGAGGCAGGAGGATCCCTGAGAGCTCTAGTCTGGGCTACATAGTGAGCTGAAAGCCAGCTTAAACTGCATAGTGAGAACCTCTCTCAAAAAATGAAAAAAAAATTTTTTTTCAAATCAGGTTAATGAAACTACATACCTTCATCTCGATTCTTCAGTGGTTAATATCTTGCCCCAGCTGCCTCTGTCTTGCACAGTCTCTGTTTTGCTGAACCATTTGAAGGTTAAGTTGCAGTTCACCTAACAGTAATGAGCCCACTCAAGAAATGTAACAGTACTGCAATGCCATTATCAAGTGTTTCCCTGTTGTCACTCTTACTGTCTTCTCCTGTCTCTCTTGTATTTTCTTCCTGTTAAGTACTTCATCATAGCCAGAGCATAGGATACCTCTTCAGAGGACCTTCATGCTGGTGTAATTCTCACAGCCTGTCTGATTCATTAATGAATGCGAAGGCTCAGAACTGTTTTCTGGAAGATATGCCCCCTGTTATCCACCTTGAAACCCTTATTCCCAGATATGAGATAAGCTGTTATCTTAGCTAGGGTAAATTGTAAAGTTATTTCTTCAAAATCTGACCATCAGTCTTTGAAAAGCCCATTGAAGATCTAGAGTTTCAGCCCAGCCAGGATAACTTAGCAAGACCCTGGCTCAACATTAAAAATTAAAATAAAAAAGAACTAGAAAGGTAGCTTAACATGAAGGCCCGGGTTCAATCCCCAGTACCAAATATTTTATATTTGCATGCACTACTGTTACTAAAGTCCATTCATGAGAAAAATTGATTTTAAAAATCCTGCCACCATCACCTTTTTATTATTCCTGGGACCACGGTGTAGATCTGTGAGTCTGTCTTGTAGCAGTAGTACTCAGGAGACCCTCGTCCTTTCAATGGAGGGGCCTTGCTAAACTGACAACTGGAGTGTTCAGTGCAGGGTCTTGCCACCATGATCCAAATAGTAGGCTTCCAATTTTGTCCATTTTTCTATCTTTCATGTTAGTGCCATATTTAATCTTGGAATTCCCAGTTCTTGGAATTGACTTCCATCAGGAGCACAGCTCATGGACTTGTTCATAGAAATGCCTCAGCATGTGGGGTACCATGGTATTCTTGGCTGTGTACCCTGGCTTTTCATTATTTGACATTTCAATTCTGTGCACCTGCTTTCACGCTTCAGTCTACTGATCTCTTAATGTGAGATGTATTGATTCATTGTTTTTTTTAGTTCTCAAAGATAGCCCATATTTGGCTCTTGTTCTATGAAGTTTCTTCAAAACAAAATATTCATTGAACTGAATCACCACCCAGTATAAACTCACATCATTTTATAACCACATTTTACAAGGACAGATTAATGTAACTGTCCCATAGCTGAGGCAAGATGTTATGTTGTATCCAGTTTTCCATGATTTTTCGTTCACTGAGACAAAGGTGAGTACATTTGACAATTCTAGCAATACGGGATTAAACTTGGGAAAGGACCCCTCCATCCAGCAGGTTTCAGATTTCCCAACATATGAGGTGCAATTTCCCATTTTTGTAAATATTTTCAAACTTTTGCCAGTTGGTTAAAATCTTCCAGAATGGTGAAGTGCCTATCGGTGCTTGGTGGCTATCACCTGACTGGACAGGTGTCCATGTGTTGGGGCTCTGAGATGATTGGTGATTTTTAGCACATTTGTAGGGTTGTATAACAATCCAGTTTTGGCCTTCTCTACCCCAAAAGTTACCTCTTACTCATTTATAGTTAACCCTCTCGGCTCTGCCCAGCATCCATTCTCTTTTTTTTTTTTTTTTTTTGTCTCTATGAATTCCTGTATTTAGCTTTTAAGTTAAGAAGAGAAATTTTTTTTAGTTTGGTATATTTTACCTAGAGAATAATTTTATTTAGCACACTGTGTATTTTTTTTAATGAAATTTGCAGCAGCACTGTTAACTCATGAGCCAGCATGACAACATTTATGGAGATGGTGACAGAGAAGTACCTTGGGTCCCATTAGGGTTGTCCACTTAAGTCAGACTGTTTCTGTTCTGAGTTGGGTCTCCCATAACTCTTAACAGTCATTAACTGGAACCAACTTTCACTGTCAAGAGGCAGGATGAGCAGACAAGTCTTCAGGGAGAGAGGACATCAAAGTTCTAATGTTGAAGAGCCCCGCCTACCTCCGTGGCAGTTTGTTGAAAATGTCGTTCTCTTTCTGCATCTACAGGTGCAGCTTAAAGAAGCCATTGAAGATCTTCCTGGTAAAATGGACACTGAATTAGCAGAATCAGGATCCAATTTTAGTGTAGGACAGAGACAATTGGTGTGCCTTGCCCGGGCAATTCTGAAGAAAAATCGCATATTGATTATTGATGAAGCAACAGCAAATGTAGACCCAAGGTACAGAACTGAAGTCCATGTAACACTGAATATGAATTTTAAATGTGTTGCCCAAAATTATTTAAAATATTGCATAAGGTTACCTAAAGGGTATGCATATCTTATTATTATACGCAGATATTCCAAAATCTAGAATCTGAAACCCAGGTAGTTCCAAGCCATTTCAAATAAAGAATACTTAACTTGTGTTTTAGACATTCTGAGGGAGATTCTAAATTTCACTTCTGATAGTTTCAAGCATTTTGGGGGTGAGGAAGAGTATTTTCCATTGTTTTAGGAAAAACAGTAAAATTCCCAAAGTTGACTTTCTATAGTTTTTTAATGTGATCATGTGTTAAAATAATGATTTTTTAAAAATTTTATTTAAAGAAAAAAAAAAGAAAACAGTGAAAGGGTACAAGTAATACAGAATTTCAAAAAAAATAAAAGTAAGAAATCATTAGTTAATAGATTACATATTGTCGTCTTAGAAATAGTTGTTCAAGTTACAAAATTAAAGCATACAAAGTGGACATTCAAACAGTGAGACTGCAAACAGTTGTGTTCAATGATCCAACAAAAACTTAATAATAGGGTCATCTATCTTACACACCTAAACACACTTGCAGTTGTGTCCTTTAGAGCACTTTCTTTTCCTCTCTTTTTTGCAATAACATTTACACATTTTGGGTTTTATTACTCCCACAGTTATTATTACTTTTTTTTTGGAAGAGAATAAAACCAAATGTGACAAAACAAAGCAGTCAGTCGAAGGATGGACATAGTACATGATGTAAAAACAGAATACAATAATGCCTCTTGCTACCTTAAAAAGAATTGCCTATGTCATCAGTATACTGATTTTCTTAAAAAAATTAAAATATCATATGATCTTTGAAGTCTTAAATTTACTTTTTCCATCTTTACTGAATTAAATTTAACTTGTTTGATTCCAGAACTGATGAGTTAATCCAGAATAAAATCAGGGAGAAGTTTGCGCAGTGCACCGTGCTGACCATCGCACACAGACTGAACACCATCATCGACAGTGACAAGATCATGGTGAGACCTCCCCGGGGAATTCTGGGGGCCTCTGTTTCTTGTGTTGTGTTTTGCTGTTTAACCTCCTTATAAAAAGCTGATAGAATCCCCCAGTAAATCAGGTTGCTGTTAATTTCTCTCTCATCCCCAACAATTTAAGGAGCAAACTATCCATTCAAAGCTTTAAATATATTTAGTACCTCCTTTCACCTGATTTCACATTAAAGGTTTGTTTGAATTGCTGTTTTTCTTTAAGATGCCAGATAACAAAACTATCCCAAATCCAGGATCTGTACCTACGGACACTAAGCTTTATACTGCAGCGGGCTAGGAGAATGTCGTTTTCTCTGTGTCACAGTTATTTCAGCTTTTTGGTCAAAAAATTAGCTTGGTTAAACTCTTTTTGTTGTTGTTTAAACTCTTGGTTTGAATAGGTCTTTGGGTAAGGCTGTAGAATCTCTCAGCCACCTGCACCTTGATGTGCTGTAAGGGAAGATGTGAAAGACACAAACAGAACATTTTCCAGGCAGGGTCTCATCAACTCTTGTGCGTTGTTGATGGGAATGTAAATCAGCAAAACCAGTACCCACATTCCTCCAAAAACTACAAGTAGAGCTTCTATGTGAGCCAGGTACCCCACATTGGAGTATTTGTCTGAAGGAAATGATATCAGTGTATTCAGGGCTATCTGCAACCCTGTGCTCACGGCAGTTATTCACAGATGCCAAGATGTCGAATCAGTCTGCGTTTCCGTCAGCGGATGAGTATAGAAAGAAAACAATGTGTTTATGCACAATGGAATACTATTCAACCTTAAAACAAGGAAATTCTGTCATTGGGAACAATGTTGATATTCCTGGAAAATGTTTATCTTAAGTGAAATCAGTCTATTGCAGAAAGACAGACACTGAATACAACCCTAAAAAGTAGAGCTTGATTAGAGGCTGGAGTTATAGCTTGGGGAGATGTTGAACAAAGGGTACAAATTTTCAGTTAGACAAGAGGAATAAGTTTTGAACTCTTTTGCTCAGCAGGAAAACTCTTGCATACTTCAGAATAACCGAGAGTAAATTTCAAATGTCTCACCACACGCGCGCACACACACACTCACAAGTTATGTAAGTGAAGTTATGGTTATGTTAATTAGCTTGATTTAATCCTTCTACATTTCATGCATATAATACAACACTTTGTACCTCATAAATGTAACACAGTAGTTATGATTTGTCAGTCAAAAATATATTTTAAAATAAAACACTCTAGTCAGAAAAACCACGGGTTTCAACAGAGAGGACTTAATGTAAGAAACTTGTTACATAGGAATCAGAAGGTTAGGAGCATGAGTAGATGAAACACAGTGATAATTTTATAAGCAGCTAGAAGAGACCTTCCTAGCAGGAGCTCCTGGAGGGGCCCTAAAGGGTTGGTGTTTACCCCTCCAAGGAGGAGCTGCTGGCCAGCTGCTGGTCATGTCAGTAAGGGGTACTGTGAGGTGACTTCCAGACTTACTCATAGAAGATGGACCCTGGACCCCTGAGTAGTGCTGGTGGTAGTAGCAGCAGCCTGGAGGACAAGACCTTTGGCCTGCATGCAGCTTTCCGTCCTGTCTAGTGCCCCTTCTGTCAATACTTGGCAGAGCTCACTGACTAAAGAGCTTGTGAATTGACTGCCCTAGGAAAACGTTCAATGTAGAAAGATTGATCAGGGCTGAGGATCTGTAGATAATAATCAGTGAACCATCTACACAGCAGACCTGGAGGATCTAAGCAATGGTCCCTGATTGTCTAGTATCTTCCATCTGGAAGTAGGTCAGCTGGATTGTAATGGGTTAAATGTGGGTGTGAGGAAACAGGGAGGAGCTGGTTTTGGTTTCTAGGGCCAGAGCCTGGGCATCTGGATGAAGGGGGAAGACCTAGGGAAAAACAGAGGTAGAGAAGGGTATTCTTTGAGCGTGTGACTGCTGAGATGTCGCTGGATTTACCATGGCCCTGCCTCTTGCATATTCAACTCCAGTGCGGGAAGATCTTCAATTTAGAATTCTTGTCCATGAGGTTGTCAGTGATGTGATGGGTCCTACTCAGACAGGTGAACATGTTTACTTGACTAGTTTCTGTTGCTGACTTACTTCATAGACAGTGGCAGGAGTTTACCCTTAGGGCACCCGAGAGACCTGCATTCTGTAGCTTCAGATATGAGGAAGTGGCCTCTGTGTTCTCTCTATCCCAGGTGGAAACACCCCAGGTGTCCTGCTGGAGAACTTCTGTTTATTTAGCTACTTCTGAATTCAGAGAAAAACAAGTGACTTCATCAGCCTTCTGTCATGATAACAAGATTCCTCAGATAGTTTATAAAGAAAAAAGTTGATTTTTGGCTCACAATTTTGCAAATTTCAGTTCACAGTCATTTGGTGCTTTTTCTTTGAACCTGTAGTGAGGCAGCACGTAATGGGGGGAGCATATGGCCTAGCAGAACCTCACACTTTGTGGCCAGGAAGCAGCAGAAGGCAAGGAGGGGGGCCAGGCTTCCAGCATCTCCTTTAGGGTCACACCCCATGACCTAAAGACCTCTCACTAGGTCCCGCCTCCTATGTGTCATCCATCCACCAAGAGCACCACCTCAGCTGCTGAGCCTTTAACATGCGACTGAGTCTTTAGAGGACATTTATGATCTAAACTGTAGCAGCCAATAATATTCTTACTCAAACGCTTGATTATTGAAGCAGTTATTTTTCTTGTTTGCTTCAGAACTACCTATTTCCTTTCCTCTGAAAAACAAGTGATTTTCTGTTATTCTGAAAGCACTGAGGACACAGAACCAAGTCAGTCACCTGCAAATCCTGATGCTCCAGAGGGTATGGGCCAGGCGCAGGGAGTGGTGAAGGAAGTGGCAGATGGTAATGAAGGGACTAGCCAGCACAGTCATTGGAAGGTCCTATGATTACAAGTGCCTAAGGTGTAATAATTACATTTTGTTGCACTTGTGACTACTTCTCCACAAAGATGGATGGCGGTGGTTTTGTTTACTGTAAGTAAATCAAACAAAAGGCTTATTGAGAAACAACTGTGACCTAATTAATAGCTTTGTTTATATGTTGGCTTTCCAAAAGGATTTACCCAGTTTTGGTTCATTAAGCACCATTAATGTGTCGGCTTAGAGTTCCATTTTATAAAGATGTTCTCTCAGTTTTAACTTTATTAAACATGGTATCATTGTTATGATAACTAATTTAATCTTTCTCATTTGCTCAGTTACTTCCAAACAGTAGAGCAAGACAGACAAATTAGAGTGTCTCTTTCTCATAATACTCAACTGTAGTGCCACACTAAAGTCAGCCCCTTCTCTGTAGCTTGCAGCATTAGCTGGTCACTTATGATCCGTGGGGGTTTTATTCCCCCATTCAGTAGCACAGCTTTTCCCACCAGCCCCTGTTAAACCCCAGTCCTTAGAGCTCTCTAGATTTTCCCAGCTTTTATTGTAGCCCATGCTCCGTCACTGTCGGCCGTCAAGGAATTCTTTAGGAGTGAATTGTGGAGTTTAGAAACTCAGATTGCAGGGTTATGGACATAGCTCAGTGGTAGAGCACTTGTCTAGCTTGTCCCAGGCCAAAAAGAGGTTGGGAAAGAAGCCAAGAAACTGGTTGGCCAGTTGGTTGTATCTTTTTGCTCATACACCATTTTGTGGTCTTACAATCTTTACCTTTCTGGACTCAAATCTCCTTTGTTGTTTTCCACAGAAAATAAACCTAGTAACTATATAGTAACATACCCAACTAGAAAAACACACCAGCACAAAGCTAATGCAAGTTTTATTTTAATTCTGTTTTTTACCTTCATAGAACTTTTGTTTGATAAGCCTACATGCCCATCGCCAGAACATTTTGGAAGAAAAAATGAGCTCTCAAAAATATGATGAGAGATTCGAATGTTTAGGTGGAAAAATAGCTAACATTAAGGGAGAAAATACAGATGCTGAGAGAAGAAATATATGCGAGGGATACACAGGACAGCAGAAGCTTTGAAGGAGTGTCAGGGCGGTCACCATAACCTCATGGCCCCCTCCCCTAGATAAGAAGAATGGTTTACTCGTTTTAAAAATAAGGAAAGATTTAGTATGGTGTTTGTCACATGCCATAGTATCCAGTCACAGAGAAAATTCACAGGTACCCATTTTGTAATAAGGAACCCAGCTTCCAAGGTTGGATATTGTCCATTGGCCCTTTGGTCACCAGAAGCAGATCTGTATAGCTCTGTCATTCCTTCCCTACTCTGTCACTGAAATGAGGTCCCTTTTATTGCCTGTTGCCAGATTGATAGCTTTTATTTTTCTTGCCCCTTGTTGTCATGATGGCATCTTGCCCAGTAAAGTGGATTAAATCATTTTGCAATGAGTCCATCTAACCTTTACATCTAGGACAGCTACCTGGACTCTGCAGCCGCATCTTCACTGAGTTTATGTAACTGACTGACTCCCCAGCATAATGTATTTTTCTTTAACCTACTAGAGAGTAGCAAGCAATTCGAGGCTGGCATTCCTGGAGAGATCCTGGGGCTGAGGGAAGGCCGCTGAGTGATGGCTGGTACATCAGTGTTGGTGTGTGGCATTGTTTAGTTTACCTGGGTACAGGAAGGGTGGGGACCAGTAGATTTCAAGAACCTTTTCTTATAGATAAAGATGTTAAAGATTTTTTTTAATGAAAATTCTGCACTTCTGTACAGAAAGAACATTTACAGTTTCTTGTATTTATTCTGAAAGATCTGTTGGACTCTGGTGAAATCAGTGAACAGAAAGGCTGAATGGGTAGAAGTCTCTTCCTGGCATTGTTTTCCACATGCGTCCCGACTTGAGTCTTTACACCAAAGGGCTGTTCCTCGGTGCTCCTTTCCTGGTGTTTAACATAACTCAGTCTCCAGCCTCAGGCCTGTTCTGTCTCTTCCATTCTTTCCTCTCCTCTTGCCCGTAACCACCAATCCTGCAGTTGGGCATTCTGGCTTTATCTCCCCACCCTCACACCCTTAGCCACCCAGTTCATGCTCTGGATTTCACTTCACGTGTCATCCCTTGTGCATCAGGTGCCTGGTACCTGTCACAACATTGCCCTGGCAGTGCAACAGTGAACAAGAGAAGCCATGCACACTTATCTCTGACCGTCGAGGGGATGACAGGAAGGGACAGGTGTCCCCCAGCCCATGTGTTTTGTGTCCGGAATGCCTACTGTTCTTCTACTCGCATCTTTGCATGTGCAGATCTGTTTACCTTTCCAGCCCAGTTTGCTGTTCCTCCTGCCTGTGGTCTGGGTGACCTCTTTTGAAGCTTAAACTCCTGTTTATCTTGCTTTTTTTCTTGCATTACAGGCACTTGAGTATTTTCACCACCTTTTGAGTATAAACACCCTAAAGCAGGGCTGGGATTCAGCTGTTGTTACCTCTTCCTCAGCATCTAGTGTCACGGTATGAGTGTAGTTAAGTGTGCAATAAGCAATAAATGTGTGCCAGATAAACTGAGGAACTGATGAAAAGTCACTTAAGAAGTTTTCCTCCAATGCGTATTACTTGCTCTTTATTAGCCCTGAAGTTTAACAAAATCGATTTTCTTCTTCTGTAACTGTGTCCCAGGCACACACAAATAATTCGAGTCATGAGTGTAATACAACTGTGGTAGGAAGCTGGGTGCAGTGGTTGCATCTGTAATCCGAGCTACTCTGGAGGCGGAGGTAGGAGGATTGCAAGTTCAAGGCCAGCCTGGGAGACCTCAAAAGACAAAGGCTAGAGGTGTAGGTCAGAGGAGCACTTATCTAGCATATGTGATACCCTAAATTCATTCCCCAGTATTGCAAAAACATAAAATAAATGAAATTACCTCAGCAGGTGGACCCAGGATGATTTTATGTTTTCAGGCATGTTTTCTTAAATTTTAATAAATACAATATCCAAGTGAAAAGGTATTTTAGAAAACAAAACATTTTAAATTTTCCTGATGTTATTTTACTTCTGCCCATCAGTGTGCTGGCAGTGTCTTAGAATTCACACAGAGGAGAAAAGGGGTTCAGACCTGGGCTTGAGTGCTGGCTCTGCCCTCTACAGTGCATGTTGCCAGGACCAAGTTATGGTTCCGGAGGGTGGAGAGAAGGCAAGAAGGAATGTGTCAATCTTATTTATGTCATCTGTTAGGAGAGTTAACAGTGATGACTTTAAATTCGGTGAATGTTCAGCTCATAGACATCATTATTTCCTTTTTAAGTTCAAAAGCTGCTATTCTTTCCATTCACTTTATTGTAACGACATTCTTTGCCACTCTCAAGCCTAGCTTAGCATCTATTTGGGGTGTAATAATCCAGTTCATTGTAAGATACTGTTTTGTTTGTTTGTTTCTTTTGTTGGGATCTGGAGGATCAGACTGAGCTAACCTTCGCTCTGTATTTTGTTTTTTGTTTGTTTGTTTTTTGGTGTCTAACAAAATAGTACTAAACAGGCTGGATTTATTTCATATTTTCAGAACATTAGCTTACAAAAGTAAAAATTTGAGGTCCAGGGCTGGAGGTATACTGCATTGATAAAACATGCTTAGCATGTGCAGATGCCCTGGATTCAGTCTCTCTCTCTCTCTCTCTCTCTCTCTCTCACACACACACACACACACACACACACACACACACACACGCACTCTCTCTCTCTCTAGTAAATTATTAAGCTTTATGAAAAATTAAGTATGTCACCCCCTCAAATTTAAAATTTTCAATAAAATAAAGTGCATGATCACTAAATTACTAATTTTTACAAAGCACAAAATGTCTTGGTCAAAATGATCTGTCACTTCTATTGTTAATCGAGTATTGTTGCTCCATCTGTACCTTTTTAAGCTCATGATCAGTTCCGAGAACTGCTGGCCTTAGTGACACTCGTAAATTGTCACATTCTGTAAAGGGAAGTAGATTTTCATTGTTCACATTTGAAAAAGTTGGACAGAGACAGAGTAGTAGAAGTACCTTCTTTCTATTAAAATTTTGAATAGTCTTCATAGTCAGTGTTCTTACCCTTTACCACCTCCAAAATGGTGATTTTTTTTTAAGTTTGCATATTGCTTTTACAAAACAGAAAGTTCATCATTTTGTAAAGTAATTCGATTTATTTATTTACTAAAGTTTTAGCACAGAAGAGAGCAGTATTTTAAAGTTGCTGCCCCCCCCCCATCCACATTGGGAGGAGTGGTTGTGCACTGTAATGCTATGCTTAAGTAAAATTATACATTCGGGGCATCTAAATTGGCATGCCAAATTATAGGACACTTTAATTATTATGTGGATGTGACAGATTCAATTATTCTTGAACTCTTTTGAGAAAGCTGCCCTTAGCAATGATTTACAGTAGTAAACAAAAGATTAACAGGAAAATGCCCTTTGTGAGACTTAATAAATGTTTCCGATTAAATACCATGGGCCAGAATTAACTGCACTATCTAGATGTGGAAAAACAACCTGTGTCCTGCTTAGAGTTGCAGCGGACCCTCTTAAGGTGAATTTATTCTAGACACAGCCTAAATGAAGAATTAAGTACCACTTAACATCAGAATGGTTTTCCTAGGTACGTCATTTGGGCCAATTGTCTCAGACTCTTTCTTCTCCCTGAAACCATTAACCAAAGCCACTAATAAGTAGAAATGCAGAGTTAAGAGGCCCTTCCTCTCCCTTTCAATTTCCAGTGGACATATTAATGAGCAATAAAACAGCTAAAAGGCAGGCAGCTAAAGAAAGAGAGAGAGGCAAGGCAAGGTAATTGTGAAAACACATTCAGGCCCTCAGCAGTGTGGGTCAAGCTGCCCCCGTGTGCTGTGTGGGCCGTGATCACTGACACTTGGAGTTTAGTTTCTTCATTGCCTCTTTAGTCTTATCCAAAAAGAAAATTAGATTTCTGTAGTTTTCTTCTGTGCAGCATTAGCAATTACGCTAAAGCTACTTAGGTAGCAGCTCTCCTGGCCGGTCTTTCACTCCCAGAATAATAAATGGCACCTAGAGGGAAGGCCTGGATGGACCTGAACTTCACCAACAGGGGCTGAGCTCCCTTTTCCAGCTGGCAGTCCAGCACCCTAAAGAAATTCCAGAAGCACTTACTTCCTTTCCATCTTGTGGCCAGATTCTGTCAAATAAACTGGATGATTCACTTACTGTCAGGTCACTGTCATTTGGTCTGTCTGACATCATTCTATGTTTTAGTAAATGAGTTTGATTTCCTTGAATCAAGAAGTTTTCAACCTCTGAATGCAAGTGTAAATACCTTGCAAAGCTCAGAGGCTGAGAATGTTAAAAGTACCAACAGTAACTACCCCAGATGCCCTTGGCAAAATATAAAATGCCACAGGACTGCTGAGTGTCCATAATAATAGTCTAGAATTTTCATTTTCTTTCTTTCCTATAACATTATAATAATAAAAGGTCAGGTTAGGCCTTTGTTTGCTTCGTAAAACAGGGTAATCAAATCATCTAAATACCCTCCAGGCCTACCACCCAAATACTGCCTCTGTATTCTCCCTCTCCTGCCCCTTTCCGAAATATTGTCTGAGTTATAATATGTTGCTACACAACATTGTGTTTCAATGGGCTTTTTTCTGCTGATTACCAGGTTTTGGATTCAGGAAGACTGAAAGAATATGATGAGCCATATATTTTGCTGCAGAATAAAGACAGCCTATTTTACAAGATGGTACAGCAGCTGGGCAAAGGGGAAGCCGCTGCCCTTACCGAAACAGCAAAACAGGTGAGCACGCGCTGAGGAGCTGTAATTAAAGTTTGTCTCACGAGTTCACTCCTCACGATTTGGCACCTTGGGTCTGGTAACGAGCACTGTGTGCCCTTTTCAATTACAAGGCTTCAGAGACAAAGCTTCAACACGTTCTGGGTTGAAGTCAGGTCTGTGAGGACCTGGCAGAAGCAAGTGGAAGGAGGATGGTGCACACACACACACACACACACACACGCGTGCAAGCACCCTAGTGCACGCACACATGCATGCATGGAAAACCTCACCAGGAGACACCAGGAAACAGGATTTAAACAGACTTTTTACCCCTTTAGACTGCAGGCTCAGATTGTCGTAGAAGAGTGAACGCATTGTGCAGTCTCTTTGCACTGCCTTCTCTTAGCACTTAGCAATTTTAGTTCCGTGTAAATGCTCTCAGCATACAGCCAGATTTGAGAGTTTGAGGAAAACATATGGAATTCTATGTATTTTCTCTAGAAGGAGCTACCAGGGAAACATGTACAGTACCCTTGTTCTTTGTTTTAGAATTTGTTTTATTTATTTATTTATTTATTTTGGAGGGGGTGCCGGGGATTGAACTCACAACCTCACATTTGCCAAGCAGGCACTTACGCCACTGAGCTAAACCCCCAGCCCCCTATTTTAGAATTTGTGAAGAAAACTCCCACCATCATTTTCTTCCTGGGTTTCTCCCTCATCCTTTGTTTTTCAGCATTAAATTCAGAAATTTCTGTATATTTTCTTGGCCTTCGAGAAGGTAAAATTGTCATCAGGATAAATCGTAACTGTCCCCTACCCTGACGCTGTCATCTGAATAGAGCTTGAAGATTTACAAAGTATTTAAAGACATTCAAGGCCCATGCTGTCTTTCCCACAGCGATGATGTAGAATTATCTCCTTCTGGAGATGGGAAAATGGCCCTTTGTCTTAGGGGACTTAGCCAGGGTCATGCAGGAAATCTTTCCTGCCCCATTGAGACAGCTTTGGGCAGAACAAGCTTCTAACTGTGCACAGTCAGCCTTTCGGCCTAAGTTCTCATCTCTAGGCACTGTGCTGTGAGCGTGTTTCTCCTTCTTTGTTGTTTCCTGTATTTTCCAGATTTTCAACACCACAAGCAGAATAAAAACTGCGTGTTTTGTGCACTATTACAAATTTGTATTAAAAAATACAGAGTGAGAAAAGATTCCAGTATCCAGTAGTTCTGTGTGAACAGTTTATCCGAGGTCTAGCCTAGATTCTAGCCTAGATTCTAGGCTAGACCTCGGCACCCTTCCACCACATTCCTCCGTAGAAACTCAGTATTTCTTTAATGCTGTTTCCATCTTCAAATCTATGAAATATCTGTATGTGCAAGGGATTGTCCTGGGTCCTGACAAACATGTTAGATGTTCTCCCTAATCGTTGACCATGTAAACCAGGGAGCAGAGAAGAGCAGATATTTGGTTCATGTGTGTAGTCATGTTGCTGCTGCTGCTGCTATTGATGATGATTAGACTTTGTCTTTTACTAAATGTCACACACTGTGCTATAATAGGTCCTCTTATCTTTATACCTGTTCAAGGGACCAGAGCTTAGAGAAGGGAGGAAATTTCCCAGGATCACATAGTTAGTGAACAGTTAGAAGAGTTGGAACTCAAACTTGGGATTAGAGGTGACAGTGTCTCTGCTGTGACCTTCTCATAAGGACTTACACTTGTGCACAAGGGGGGAAGCTGCTTTTAAGAATGCTGTACTTTATTAGGCCTGAAGCATAGTGAGTATTTTCATTTTCTAAAGTATCTCTAAGTCCAAGCTTCCTTCCAAAGTCCCAGGCAGTCATTTGAGGTTCCCTGTACAGTCTGGTCACAAAACATTCAGGAACTGCACAAGTTTTTGGTTCTTAAACACCTTGGATGTTTCAAATAGAAAAGATACATCCCCTCACCCCATGACCTGTGTGTCAAGGATACCCTCCCTTTCATTGCCCTGCTGGGAATTGAACCTAGGGCCTTGTGCATGCTAGGTAAGTACTCTACTACTAAGCCACATCTCCATTCCCACAATGTCACCTCATTAAAAATGTGATTGTGGGTTGTGTGTATAGATCAGGGGTAGAGCATTTGCCTAGTATCTTAGAGACTGGGTTTTGGTCCTTAGCACCATCTATACATATGCGCACGCACAGACACACACATGCACACACACACACACACACACACACACACACACACACGTTATCATTATATTATCAAGGTATTGAGTATGAGCAATAGGTCACAGAAATTTGGGTGGATCTTAGATCACATAAACTAGTGCAAAATTCAACAGTCTTATTTTAATGATGAAGAAACAGACCCCAAGGTGTAAGACGTTATCCTAGTTTGCTGTAGAGACAGAATTAGAATCTTTTCTTTCAATCAGCATTTTAAGTCTAGCGCAGCATGTAGACAGACAGGCAATAGATCACAGAATTCTCTTGTATCCAGTTGAACGACATAATGGTAACTTAGGTTTGTGCAGTACTTTATGATTTACTCTACATAATTCTTTTCACATATGATTGCACTTAACTTTCACAGCAGGTCTTATTTTGTCCCCTGTGGTTATGAGGCTGCTGGGTCAGAGGTCATTGTGGGGCACAGAGAGGGTCAGCAGAGAGCGGAGACTGGGTACAGTGCTGGGCAGAGCTGAAGCACTGCCGGGTACTGTGTTCTGTGAGAGGTTTGAAAACATTGCTCCTCTTTTCATTTGGCGTCTAGGATCAGGCCAGTGACAGAGGCCAGCACTGGGACAGGACATCCCTCTTGGATCTCAGGCCTGCCTAACTGTGAGCTCAAGCTACCTTTGCAGGAAGACAGATCTTGATTCCCACCCAAGCTGAAAATGTTCTTGACACCCTTTCTGCACACACTTGGTCCTCTTAGAAGAACAAGCTGTCAGATTGTCAGCCTTTTCATTGTGTGAGATCAAATATCAGTGCATCATTTAGAACTGTAACACCGTGTGGATTAGTCTAAATCAACAGGCTTTTCACTGTCACAGATTAGAATTCATTTGAAAACAAAACCCAGGTTCTGGGAAAAGGAACTTCCAAGTCACGTACTTTTGACCACGTAGTTGCTTTTCTGAAAATGTTGATACAGGTAAGCTGATCACTCTTTGACTGACCTTTATAGATGATCCATGAACAAAGTAGACAAAGTAATTTTCAGATACGTAAAGCAGAAATCTGGCATCACAGACTGGGGGACTTAACCACAGAAATGCATTTTCCCACAATGCTGGAGGCTTAGTTCAAGATGAAGATTCCTGCAGGACCGGTGTCCTCTGAGCCCTCTCTGCCCAGCTCTAGAGCAGTCCCGGGTCTTGGCATGGTTCTTTCTCCTGTGTAGTGTGCCCCTTCTCTTGGGAGTCATACTGGACTAGGGTCTGCTCCAAAGACCTCATTTGAATTTAATCATCTCATTCAGGAGCCAGTACAGTCACCTTCTGAGATATCGAAGGCTAGGACTTCAGTATAAGATTTTGGTAGGAGGGGTTTGCAGTACAATTCAACTACAAAGAAGAATGAGCACATCTTGCGCTCCCCTTCCTGGTGCAGCAGCCTCCATGTCTTGTTAGAGTTCCTTTGTTCCCATTGTGTAATGAGGCGCTACTTTATCAAGCTGTCAGATCACCAGATCAAACCCAAAGCTTGTGAAATCCTGACAGCCTGGACTCTTAAGAACCTGGACCTGTTTGAATAGGTAAAGGGGTGCTCTGCCTGTGGTGGATCCGAGTTACCCCAGGCGATGCTGGCCACAGGGTCCTCATCTGCAGGGTAGTGCAGGGACACATGATGCAGGTGTCAGAGTGACACAAGTTACTTCCAAGAACATGAAGCACTTTACAAATATAAAAGTAATCCTACCTACCGATGACAAGAGTGTGATCATCTTTCAGGAGGGTGAGACCACACCCTTGCCTTCTAATAATAACAGGAAGAAGTGCCCAAAACTCTTTTCAGTAACTTTAGAGACTCTTAAGTAATTAAAAACTATTTTTAATAATCAGCTTAACAGATGCCACAAGCTATTGCTAAAATCATTGTAGTTTTAAAAAAAATTTTATAAGTAACAAGTCGTTCTCTCACTCCTACCTTCTGTCATGCAGATCCTCCCCTTCAACATCGTCCTAGTCCCATAGTCTGCAGTTTTGCTGACACAGTGTGTGTAAAACAAGAACATGTACATATATACAGCCTTTCTTAAGCATAGCCAATAGCTGTCCATCCTCCCCTTCTTTTTCTTGTGGTATTCCGCATTGATCCGGTGCCTTGTTACGTAAATGCTTTATTACTGAGCTACATCCCCCGCCCTCCCTCAGTTTAGTCATTTCATATTATATCTTCAATTTTTATAAATACTTCAAGTTATCTCATTCTTCTTAATGGCTACCTAATACCTATACTTTCAAAATCTCTACTCTTCCCACTTTTTTTCCAATTAAGTTGCTATTACCTTCCCTCAAAGAATGATTTCTCAGATTCACTAGCTCTCATATTCTGTTTTATAGCTGATCAGGTTCTGCTCTTTATTGAGTATTTCCTTTGTTTGGTTTATTTTATTGTTGCTTCTTCAGTACATTTGTTACATTCTTTCTTGCTTGTTAATGTAAATACATTAAGGCCGTGAATTTTCCTATAAATGCTGCTTTAGCTGTATCTTATAGATTTATATAATGCTTTCAGCAAAACTCATTTTTTATATGTGCATTTTGCAGTTTTGATTTTGATTTTCTCTTTGACCTGGAGGTTAGTTAAGACAAGAGGTTTAAAAACTTCCTAATTATAGAGGTTTATTTTGTGTTTCTTTTATGTTTTATGACAGTTTTACTGTCCCTGTTTTACAATCTTTTCTGTACCAGTTCTACTCATTGGACATCATTCATGCTTTTTTGTGCCTTAGTACATGGGCAATTTTTGTGAATTTTTCTCTGCACAGTGAAAAGATGCGATGTTGCCTGTTAAAGTATATAGCTTACTAATTGTTGATTTACCTATCTTATTAATTACAAGCTGGAGATCTTTATTGTCTTTTGTATATTAGTCTGTTTGCTGTACCTTGTTTTGGAGAGGTAAATCAGTCTCATACTGTGTATGTCCCTCCTTGTACCTTCTGTCATTTTTGCTTTGAAAATTTTGATGTTATCATTCCAGTCAACAGAAACATGTGACTTAAATTTTTCACGATGAATTTTATTTCTACCATTTTAAAGGCCCTTTCTGAGACTTATTTAATGTTTTTGGCCTTGTCTTACTCCACATGTGAAGTATGTGTTTGATGGCTCCCTAATTTAAATTTCCCACTTAAAAAACTCATGTGTCACACTTCGTTTTGTTACTGCATTGAAATACATGCTTTGAGGTCTCAGCACTGTTGACTCATCTGGAGCAATACAGAACTGTGTGATATATAACTGGACCTTTTTTGGATGCCTAATAGCTTCGCCCTTTATTTTGAAGCTCAATAGCTTTTCCCAGGACATTATTCTGTTCCTTTTTGAACTTTAGATTAAAATTTGTTGTTTGTAGAAATTCTCTGGAATAATATCTTTGAATTTTTAAAATTCGATAACCATTGTTCTCTTTGTGATTGTCATACATTACATGTCCTTTTCCTCTTTTCTCCTGAATCCGCTCTAATTGTAGATTATCTTCCTGGCACACTCAGTCCTATTCCCGGGTCTCCTACTGGTCTTTTCAGGAGCACTGCTTCAGTAGAAGTCACATCTTTGAGATTTTCATTTTTCTCTTCCATCTCATTTTTTGGGCTCTGTCAACTTAGTTTCAAAATTTTGTATTACTTTGTCATGTTTTCTTGGACTTGGATCTCTGTTGTGTTCACATTGTTTGTTCTGCTGCATGTTCTTTGAATGCTGCTTTTTGATAATTTCCATCAGCTTGGTGATTACTTATTCTTCATTTGTCATGTGTTTTTCTTGTTCCTTTTCTCACTTTTTGTTTGTACTTTTACAGATCTTATATTACCCCTTTTATTATACTATTCCTACTTCTCATGTTTGAATAAAATGTTTTTTTTTTTTTCCTAGCCGTGGTTCAGACATGGTTTCAGACTAAAGTGAATTTTGCCAGCTTTAAATTAACATACTCTTCTTATGGGGGAACAGAAAGGGAAGGAGTGGGGTAACAGGCATGTAATTCTGCTTGTATTCATAGCCCCTCTTCTCCAGGGGCCCGGTGTGTGCTGCAGCAGAAGAGTCCCTCTGTGGTTCCCCCGGCCCAACTCAGAGTTCTCCTGTGACGGCGGAGAAGCCTGCTCCTCCGCGACTGCTGAGGGCCTTTCCCACATGTGCGCTGTCTGTCTTGCTGTGGCCTCATTGAATCCATGGCACTTGGCAGCTCTTGCAGATATTTTATCATCGGGAGTTTCAAATGGTTAGCCATTTCATCAGAGTCTGGGCATAGTTTTTATTCTTTAGTATCTTCAATTTTAAGATGATTTTTTAAAGAGAAACATTTCATTATCTTAAAAGCAGAAGTTCAAATTCTCTCATACTCTTTACTTTGACAGTATTATACAAAGTGTGATTGAAAATACGGTGAACATTAAATTTTTTTCATTTACTATAGCATAAAACATATTGCCACGAATTATCCTCCATTCAAACACACTGATCCCATCATGTTTGCTACTTCCTGAAGCAGTTCTGCAGTCTCTTTTCAGGAGAGAATATAATTGTGCTGTTGTGGTTGTCCTCAATTAATTCAAAACATTTACTTCCCAGGGTCTTTTTGACTTTGGGGAAGATGTAGTAGTTGTATAATGCCGGATCTGCAGGTCTGCAGGGAAGGTGGCCACGGACACACTGTAATGTTTTCGTGAGTCTGCCTTTCTGTAGGTTGGCACTTGGTAGTAGCTTCACCATATTTTGATTGTACCTCCTAAGGATTCTCACAAAAGACGCCATAGCTGCTTCGGAAAGTGGCAGGGATGATGGGGTAAGTGTGTTCAAAGCAAGGGGAGGTATTTTGAGGAGCACCAGCAGTATGTCTTTTACAGTAATAAATTTGTAAGCATTGACTGTATATTCTGTACACCCGATGCCCACCGATGCTTTATACCAGAATTAGACTTGCTGTATGAATGGGGGACCTAAGGTCTGAGAGTTCCTGTGAGAGGACACAGCCCGGTGAGAAGGGATGGACAGTCTTGGGCCAGAATTCTACACAGAGAATGCAGACTTCCACTCACCATATGAAAAAAGCCCCGCTGTTTCTCCTCTGTCTACAGAGGGGACCTTCTGTTGCTCTGTTGCTTTTAACAAGCTAATTCCATTTTAATGGCTTTATGCATGAGATAGAGTTTGCTGAATTTAATTTTAGCCTGCAATAGACAAACTCTTACTAAACCAGACAGGAGAGGAAAAGCAATCAGTAAGACGTCCGACATTCACTGGACTTCTCTTCTGCTGATTGTTGGCGTGAGCTTTTATGGCATTATCTTCTTCAGTCTTCTCAGCAGAGCAGAAGAGTCTAAGTAATGTCTCAAAGTCACCAGCAGAAGAGTGTTAATACTCCAGCTTTGGTAACCTCTCCATGGGGCATTTCTGTCCCGTGGGTTAACATACTCATTCAGTTAACAGTGTCTCGACTCCGAGCCCAAGGTTCTGTAATGATAAAACGAGAAGATGACAAAGGGGACCCTCAGATGTTTTGTTTTCAGCTTTCAAGCTGGGTAATACTGCTAGTTTCCATAGACTAAGGGGCAATTCTCTGAGCAGCATTCATAAACACACCCAACACTTAACTCGGCATGTTTTCAACTAGTAGTTTGAAGCCATCAATTAGTTCCTATGAGGTAAGTCATTGCTCTCTCATTTACAGATGAGGCAGGCAGCACGGAAAGAGGTAAAGTGATTTCTCCAGGGTCAGCAGTAAGTCCCAAGATGGGGAGCTGAACCAGGGCCTCCCCACCCTGGCCAAGCCAATGACCCGGGGACTGAAGAGTGTCAGGATCCTGGTTCCCTTCCTCACCTGCACTGTGCAAACTGATGCTTTAGCTCACCTGTGCCGTTAGCCAGGCTGTGTTGTAAAACATGATAAGAGATGAGAAAAAGGAAAGCAAAATGCAGAATATTTTACACAGAAAGTTGTGTTTCAACAAAGCACTTCAGACCAAGAAGCTGTGTCCATTTTAGTTAAGAATTGCCAATAACATTTTTCTTGATAAAATTTACATAGAGGAGGGCTTTAGGGAAGAAGCAGGCTTATTTGGGGATGACTTTCAAGCTGCAGAAGATGAATTGAATTTCCATTTGTTCTTTTGGCTGCTTTTACTTTCAAGAGGAAATACTCTTTAGGAATGTATAAAATAGAACCACACAAAATACAGCTGCCTGTAAAAAGTAGGAGGGGAGAGATGACAAATTTTGCCCCCTCTCCACTGCTAAATGTCTCTTGTTTTTAGAAACTTGCACTATAATAGAAACGGTGTCACTTTTCTTCCAGGGGGCCCAGGGGTTATCAGAGAATTTCTTATTTTTCTTAAGTGACATTTTAATATATGGAATTTTAAATGTAGAAACACTTTTACAATAGCATGTATGCAAGCCACAAAAGAAACATACACTTAGTATGTAGGTGGGTGTCTCAGCATGCTTCTGTTTTGCATGTGAAGTCCATTATCTGCACTGATAACTTTGTTAACAGCCCCCACAAATACATTTGGAGTCAGGTTTTATAAAGCGTATGCAGAATCGGATGACTCAGACCCGGCTCATGACATGTGTCAGCCTCAGATACATGGTACATTTTCTGTTTTAAAGACTCAAACAAAACTTTTCACATTCTTCTTTGGGGAAAAAAAAAATTGTATTTGAAGTCTTTTTCACCCAAACACATTTAGAGATAAGAGCTCACAAGTCTTGACATTATTTCTTTTTGTTATGCGCATCTGTCAAATAACCGAGATAGGATACAGCTACTAAAAACTGGTGATTGTGGAACAGAGAAACTTGACAACATTTCATTTCCTTTATGTTCTGATTGCACATTTATCAGAAAACCTGTATCTCTTCTAGTTCAGCTAGAAATTGGTAGAATTCAGGAACTCAAAGGCTCGGCAAAGGACTGTCCTATTATTTGGTATCATCTTACATTTTAGAGAAGTTGCTTGGTTGGGTCATTGTGAAAGCCTTTTGCTTCTCTTTTCATTATTGAGGCCTGCTATCCACAGATCACATTTCTATGGGTCCTATGACTGCTTTGCCACACAAATTAAATGCTGGGATCGTTCATACATAGACGCTAACGTTTCAATGCTTGTCAATCAGAGTTTATAAAATATAAGGATTACAACCTGATATTAACATCCAAATCTATTGTGCTCATTTTATGTGTGAAAATGAGAAACCCTCGTGTAGACGCTAGATTCCCAGCCTCTTTGTCACCCCATTTTTAATTTATCTTCAGGTTTTGAGTCAGTGAAATGATTTTGCTTATCAATTTAATGGAGTGATAAAACGTATCTGTGAATCAGAATGATCAGAACTAAAGCAGATCTACAGGTGGTTTGGCATTCAGCCCGGCCCAGCTGAGAGTTTCAGTGGGCTAATACTCCATAGAATGTACACATGCCTGTTCTTTAATTGTGCCTCAATGGATGCCAAGATCTGCTTCACATGAAGAAGTCAACAGGGAAACACACTGCTTTAGGGGGGAGGACTGGAAAACTTTGCGTATGTTCCTTTTATGCTTGTTTTTTGTTTTTGAACAGGTGTACTTCAAAAGGAATTATCCGGACATTGCTCACTCCAACTCTGTGATTACGAACACTTCTAATGGCCAGCCCTCGGTCTTAACGATCTTTGAGACAGCGCTGTGATTCTGCACATCTGTCCAGTCAGCGTTTTTCCAAAGGCATTTTTCCCATAGTTTTTGCATAGTTTTGTATAAGCTACAGTGAACTTTTAAAAAAAAACTCTAGCACAATAATGTACACATTGCAAGATGGCAGTGTATGTGGACACTGCCCCCTCCCCAACTTCATCCAGTGATTTCAAGCTCTAAGAAAGTGTTTTTTTATTTCTACTTCAATATTATAATATCTTAAAAATCCAAGTCAGAGGTGCAGGCCACCGATAAAAATAGGGTTTGGTGCCTTAACAGACTCCAGAGCCAAAGCGCATTCATTGTGTAAGGAATGGGGCAAAGTTGTCACAGGTTGGTTGTTTGTGTTTTCCTGTTGATCCCACATTACTTATTAGTTTCCAGTGATTCTGTTTACTTGAAGACTGTGTGAAGGTTGTCATCGTCTCACCACTTTAACAAAACTAGGGTCCATTATGTCCCCTAAAGGCTGCTAATTGAAATAGTGCAGATACAACCAACAAAAAATAAAATTATATATATATGTAGCAAGAGAGAGAGAGAGACTCTACCACTCCCCAAAACAGAAATATGTGGTGAAAATATAGAAGGAAAATGTTTCATATTATAATAGGAAAGAGAAAATAACGCTTTCTCAAAATGGGAGCCCTTCTCTCAAACAGGTTTGAAACAAGGGACACACGTAGGAACAGCCTCATCTTCAAAGCTGCCTGACCTGGACATGGAACTGTGTTCTGGTTCCAGACTCAGCATAGTGGTACTTTCCAAAAAGGCCAAACCTCTGAGGATACCTCCTAAAACATGTGGTGTTATTTTGATTTGGATTCATGGTTTACAGAAGGTAAACCGCCTTCTACTGACTATCCATTTTTGGTTTAGCTTTTCTTGAAATCCTTTCCAAACTGCATGCACAGACTTCTGAGTTGGTGAGAAAAAGTGAAAATCCTTGCGCTCACTGACTGTAATTATGCAGTACTTTCTCAGGATGCATCCAGAGGCTCACTCTGATGAGCCTGTCCAGATCAGTTTACTTCTGACCACTAATCAGAGTTTCTTTAGGTCATTCTGGTGAGTGAATCAACAAACCACAACACTTCCTAAGCCAACAGTAATTCATTTGAACCATAGGCCTTTACTTTTCCTTGATGGTAGCAGCTATGAGGTGTTGAGTTCAAGTCACTAAACATTTACTGTCATGGTTTCAAGTGGACTTGACCTCTCAAAAAAGGTGAAACCACTGCCAAGTTGCCTAGATTAATACACACGTACAGTTGTGTGTCTATATATGGACTATACATAAATGCCCAATAGATAACAGGTATTTTGATTCATTAACAGAAAAGCTGTTTTGTAAAATGAAGTGTAAAAAAGCACACATAGCAAATCACCAAAATACGTTAAGCAAAGTGGCTGTTTGCCTTCTTGTGTTTGGAAGTCTGTGATTAATGTCCGATAAGTCACGCACACTAAGTTGTTTATGAATAGTTATAGGAAGACTGAAATGACAACAGTGATGATAATGAGGTCTGTTTAAACACTAAAAATGTTTTAAATGTGTATATGTTTATTTGGTCTATAGAGATCAAAGGCAATCATATAAATATGTTTCTGTTTCATTTCTGTTTAAATGTCATCACAGGATTTTTAATGAAACAAAATTCAATTGAAATAAATGACAGTTTTCATCTCCATTCAGAGATCTATGTTTTTGTTCTTAGGGGAATTACTGACTCATGGCCTTGCTGATGAAAGCCTCTGGTTTTCCTAAGCTTAAGAAAAAAAATCTTCTGTTACCCGCTGGTCCTCTTGGCTACTTAGGTGTATCAAATGTTCTAAGCAAATGTGTCGGTTGCAGACAGACTGAAAAGTGGCTGTTGAAATGTTCCAGTCACTACTTTTCTTAGAAAGGAGCATATTAGCTTGTGCCCCAGGCTTGAACTAGTATTAAGATAATTGAGATTTTGTTTTTTAGCATGATTTTATCCTAAGCTAAAAAGAAACGTCTATGGTGGCTACATTTAAGCAGTATAAAATACTGGTTTTCACAATGTGGAGTGTAGGCCAGCAGCATCGTGAAGGAAGTCACTAAAAAATGCATATTCTTCTGCCTTAACTAAATCTACTGGATCGGGAACCTGTGGGCTGTCTTCAGAAGCCTGGGTGATTCTGATGTAGAATATAGTCTGAAACCAGTGTCACAGAACTTAAAGAACTCCTAAGGAAAAACACAGAAGCCCACTTAGACAAGGTACTTGAATAAATACTTTACAAAAGAGAGTATCCAAATGACCAATAACTGGAAAAATAGGAAAGAGAATAACTAAATGGTCAGTAATTAGAAAAACATTCTTGTTACCAGAGAAATGCAGGTCAATGCAGTGAAAGACCACTACACACCCACTAGAAGACCAAAATGAAGGAGAATGAGCATAATACTCAGATGCCCATGAAGTATTTGGAGCACTCAAGGATTGCTGTGCATCTGAAAACGTTTACTGGGTGGTGGGGAGGACTTAGAAATACACAGCTCAATAGCGCTTACACAAACTGTACCCTGCTGAATTCTTCTCCAAGTGTGTACACCCGTGCACCTACAGATGCAAGGATGTCCTTATAAACATAATTCCTCATAGCTCAGACTGGGAGTGATTTAAATGCTCATCAATAGCAGGAGGAAAATGAGGTAGTAGAGTACAGCAAGGAAAGCGTGACAGGTGAACTTCACAAGCATTGTTCCAAGAATTCTGATCCAAAAAACATTGGCGATTCTGTACAAAGTTCAGAAACAGTTATAACTAAAGGCGGAGAAAAATGCTTTTAGCTTTGGGAAAAGGAAGATATTGGTAACGGAGAAGTAGGAGGCCACCTTTCTAAGGTACTTAGAATGTTCTCGGGTACCCAGAGACCGAAGCAGGAGGATTGCAAGTTCTGGTCCCACTCTTGCAATTTAGACACTGTCTTAAAATAAAAAGGGTAGGGAGGTAGCTAAATGCACAGGTCCTGTGTCCCTTAGTACCACAAAAAAATTTCCCAGTGTTTTTGAGTTGGATGATTAGATCAATATTCATTAACCTTTTCACACATTCTCTTCACTTTTATATATCATATTTGACAATTGAGCTTTAAAATGTGTATGATACTATTTTTCTGTAGAATCCCAAATTCAGTGACTCAGCCTTCTCAAAATGAATGCTTTGCATCTGGTAAACTATTTCTGCAGAGTTCTTATGACACTGTTTCGAGGTTGTCTTGTGGCCCATTGCAAACGAAGCATTTGACCCTCTTGCTACATGAGAAGCCATTATATTTTCTCTAACCAAATAATGTTTCACTTTCTCTCAAATTTCGGGATAAGTACAAGAATAAAAGCCTATAGATTGTGTGGGTGGCATAATTATTAAAAGTATTAAAACAACATTGTTGAAGTATAATTGATATACAAAAATTGTATATACAGGCAAAAAAATGTATACACTTCAGGAAAATAAAAACTTTATAAATACTTTAATACCGAATTTACTGAGAATTGTGAGAGTAATACATGTTACATTTGCCCTTTGCAATTACAGGAGGTGCTCAAAAGTGGTGGCTGTTAGCTTCCAGACATTTATTAGGACGGTGAACTGCTGCTTGGGTACCCTTGGTCATCAAGACTGCTGATGTGCATTTTCCGTTTCCTCTCTAAGGGCCAGTGATGTACTCGATTTTCTGTCACATACGACATCCTTTAGGGCCCACTACATGAGCGTAACACAATCTGTTGAAAAAAAAAAACATACTATTTTTGTTTTCCTGATATACATTTATTGGTGATTCTATATTTAATGCGGATGACGTGATGAATTTAGAGATAGTTATATGCACATCCCCCAAAACCATGACCACAGTCTATCCCCTCCATTTTTCCCCACTTCCAAAAGTCTCCACCTCCTGTCTTTTTTTATTCTCTGTCAGCAAGATGAGTATGTGCATAAAAGTCAGTGTCATGCTAAATCTTTACTAACTTCTCAACTGGTTTACTTGTCCCTATGTAAACCAAGGACAGCCGATATTTCTGTTTAGATTTTATTGTAGGGATATTAAGAGTTCCTCTTCTCAAGTCCAAATAATTGTTTCAAATCCAAGAGTAAATATGTCCAGAAAAAAAAAATTTTTTCTTCTTTTTTCTTTCTGAGACAAAGTCTTGCTATGCAATTCAGGCTGGCTTTGAGCTCACTTTGTAGTTCAAACTGGGTTTGAATTTGCAACAGTCCTCCTGCCTCAGCCTCCAAAGTGTCACCACACCCAGCTTAAATCCAGAATTTTATGCCTTGAAGTATGTTACATTTAGTACCTGAATGTGTAAGTCACTTCACAACCAGTGCTGTTTGAGAATGTCTTTAACTGACATTCTATAGCCACGTCTCAAAAACTAGATTTGTAATGCTGCTAATATGAGTCACACTAGTAATGGATGAACTTGTATTTTACTAAAAGGAAAGAAATACTCCTCTTGGAATGAAGAAAACTAAGAAAGATCAACAATTAACGCCCAACCTGGGAGCCATGTCTATAGTCAACTTGGTTTAGTAATCAAATGATCTAAAATGTCCGAGTGTGTCAATAAAAGGAAATTGCATCCTACTATTACAGGCAGCTGAGCTAGTTTAGAATATTATAGGCAGGCAGGGCTAGGCCCTCGAAGAAGCCTGCACAGAGGACCAGATATCTGATGACCTTGGAGGAGACACACACCTCTTGCTGTGGGCCAGATAGAAGGCAAAACAAATGCAACCACACCTTTAAGTATAATCCTTAGGGATTAAATCTGGATCACCTTGAGAAGTCAGGAGTCACCATCCCAGTCCCCTATAGGAGGATTCATTGATTTCTAAGAATGCTTGCTTCTATGTGATTGCCTCCCTATTTGTTCCCAATTTAATCAACTTTACCTGAGCTATTAATCTTACTGGCTAAACATAGCATGTTTCCAGTTTTTCCCAATTTAGACCCACCACACCTCATGGTTTTACTCTATAAAAATCCTGAGGAAATACAGAATCTAGCAAATCACTCTGGACCCCTTGAGTCTCTCAGACAGAAGCTTTGTTTCTCTCAATAAATATTCCTACTCTTAGACTTCGTTGTTCCTAAAATTTATTCTTTGATTTTAGAGAACACGAACTCATACTGGACATGTAATAGGTCGGGAGTTTCATTCCCCTATATCAATACTTCATAAGTAGCAGTTAAGAGCTCTTGTTTCTGAAACACCAATTGAGAACACAGCTTTTCTCAAGAATTCCAGAAAATTCATGGATTAATTTCCACAAAATATGGGCATGTTGGCCTTTATTGAGTTGAGGTTTTTAATTCAAGAGAGTAACCACATTCATACATAGAATCCTTGTTTGCACCATTTTATGTTTTGAAATTTAGAAGTAAAGGCTATAAGTATAAGCCTTTAAGCATCTCAAAAATCCTGAGTACTGGGCCCAAGATTTAGCTCAGTGGCACAAGCCTGGTAAGCACAAGGTTATGAGTTTGATCTGTGATACCCCACCCCCCAATCCTGAATCCTCACCAGAAGCTCTTTTGGTCCATGTTGCACTTGGATTCTCTGTGATACAGATTCTGCAGTGGAGTTTAGTGTTCAGGATGTGGATGGGGAGGTTCCAGGGTGCCCTTGGAATCAACGTTTTTAGAATCAAGAAAGAAGCAGGATTGGGTGGAGGGAAAAGTGGAGCTGGGATATTTCCCAGGTAACCTCAGCCCATCTGTGAAACACCATGGCACAAAAATGGCACAGGGGTTGTCCTACCGTATACTGATGGCCCGGCCTTCTCCTCCAACTCAGGTGGACAGTGTCCTCCGGCTGTTCCCAGAAGGGCTGACACAGTCCCTTAGGTGGACGGTGTCCTCAGGCTGTCCCCAGAAGGACTGACAGTCCCTCAGGTAGACAGTGTCCTCTGGCTGTCCCCAGAAGAGCTGATATAGTCCCTCAGGTGGACAGTGTCGTAGGGCTGTTCCCAGAAGGGCTAACTGGTTGCCCACAGCTACTCCTAATAAGTCCTAAAGGGGGACCGGGTGGCACATCTCTATGCCTACCACAGGACATGTGACAGAACCTGCAGTAGGTCACTGATGGTCACAATGACAAGATTCTTGCTCTTTGACATTTGTGTCAAAATGATTGTCCTCAGTAACATGTGGTCTGAAATACCACAGACATGATCTACTGAAGAAACAGCGTCATTGTATTTAACCTCTAAGGTCAACACTGTCAGGACCAGCCTTCGAGCTGGTAACTCCTGTGTGTTTCCATAATCCCAAGAACCCCTCACTGATACGGACAGGCCCCCTGCTTGGGAAGCCCAACGCCCTGTCTCCATCTCAAAATTCTTAATTTTTAAACAAAGAGCCCTGCATTTTCATTTTGAATTGCTGTACATGAGGTAACCTGTCCTTAGTGTCATAATTGGAGGATCTATTTTCTCACTGGAGAATGAGCTTCTGACACTTTGAACCATCCCATTCATTTTTTTAGTTCGTATCTTCTAGCACAATGTCTGACACCTGGTGCCAATAAATGCTAACTGAATGAATACTGATGGAAAATAAACCTTCCTTTTAAATTCTGTAATTCTCTGAATTTTAAGGGGTACCCCAGAGTAATACAAAGATCCCTGGGATTAGGGCCAGTCAGGCACCA